CCGGGCGCGGGCGGGGGGTGGGGGCCCAGGCTGGTTAATTTTGTCCCGGGCAGCCTGGGAAGGTGAGTCGATTCCCTGGGGCCTGAGACCTTCCACCCTACGAGTCCACAGGAAAGATCTCCCGCGCAAAGACGCGGCTAAGGTATCCTGGGGAGCAGAGGCGAGAGGCCACGCAGCTGGCCGGCCCCTGAGGCTGAGGCTGAGGACCGCTCGGCCCCAGGTCTGCCCTCTCCTTCCGCCTGCCCGCCCGGGCTCCAGGTTCCTCCGCCGAGCCGCGTGCCTGCCGAAGAACCACACCCGACCTTTAGGGCTGGTGCTGGGAGCTTTCAAACCGAAGACAATCCGTCGCCGCAGTTCGTTATCCGCGAAAGCGTTCCCATCGGGAGAACTAAACCGATGTTTCCCTCCCCACACACCCTGATCATAGAGGGCAAAAAGGAAGAAAGAAAATAATTTTTTCAAAGACGGAGGAAAACTCTCGCCCTCAGACTCTAGAAGTTTTAGAAAACTGACTGGGCCAAACAAGAGAGCGAGAGAGATGCAAAGGTGTCATTTGGTTCTTCTGCAAAGAAAAATGTTTTCCTTTTATGGATTTTGTAAAAGCATTGGTTTCTGACAAGTGCAAGGTACAAAAGGTTGTGGAATTTATTAATACATATTAAGAAGAATCAGGGCGATCAATAAAATTCTCATCTACATTCTTGGGCTACTTGGTAATTTTCTTGCTTCTGAAGGTTTTTAAAGAGTTATACCCGCTGTTGCCACACACGGGAAGATATTTTATTAACAAATCAATCGAGACTTAGTAAAGGATAAGATTAATAGTTAGGATTTAGCATAATGGCGTTCGCTTTATGAATTATTGAAAATTATACTATTGATTTTTCCCCTTCGGTACTAACCAAGAAGGTCAATTTTTGTTTTAACACAAGTTGTCAAATATTAAAAGCTATACTTTTGTCAAAAGTAGAGTTTTATAGTTTTGGACAATTCCTCAAATTATTTGACACGGTTTTGCTTGGGTAAGAGGAGGGAGAGGAAAGGGAGGTGGGGTAAGAACCTTCGTCCTCTGTTTCCTTTGTGAGGGAAAGTTCTATAAAGAGGATTTGGTCTGGGCTTGTGGTTGAACTCATTAAAGAACACCACCATCACCGCCATGGAAACTCGGAGTTTTATGAGAAACTTCTCCAACAACTTCCTCTCTCCTTCTCTAGTTGCAGGCGGCTGAGCCACACTATGGAAGCTCCGGCCTCCAGGCAGAAGCAGGGAGCTTTAACCTTGATTCCTTCCCAAAGACTTGCCCTGGCCAAGCCAGGTTGCTGGAGCTGTCCTCTGGCTTCCGGGTCCCCTTCACTGCATCCGAGAGAAGAAAAGGGCCCCTGGCTCTGATGGTGAACCAGTGCTCTGTCCCAAAGGAAGGCATCCGTGTTTTCTTCTCCCCACGTTGCCCTGTTATGGGCTGGCCTTGGATTTCAGGCCTAGAGACTGAACTTGTGGGCAATTTGGGTTTCCGTCTCAGCAGAACAGTTCTTTGGCGCCTGATGCTAAAGAAAGCACATCACCATTCTGGGGCACCCACTTGCCCACTTGCTCCTTCACAGAAACCTTTCCCAACAAACCCTTTGTCAGCCCCTCCCCAAAAGGACTGTCCCCTGGCCGGGTGGAAAAGCAGGGGTTGGACATTATTTTCAGCCTTGGGACGGCTGCGCCTGTCCCCTCGAATTGCCCTCGCCCAAACAATAACCCCTTTTAAAAAACTGCGGTGGCAATGAGACAGACCTTTTAAACCTTTAAGCAGCTGTTCAAATACAACATCATTGTCAGGTTAAAAGCCTAGAGCCTCTCACTGCTCAGACTGCAGGATGCCCTGCCAGGGAAGCCGGAGGGTTAAACATTACATTACCTTTTCACAGGGTTGTCTAATTTTAAGCAGGGGGTGGGGGGGGGGGAGGATGAAGAAGGCAGAAAAAAAAACCCAACTTTTTACTCTAGTCTGCTAAGGTCTTATTCCAAGCTAACAACCACTGGTCAGCACCTTGAAAATTGCTTTCTTCAAAGGCGGAGATGATCATCCCAGCCACGGCAAAACATGCCCAGGGCTGGACAAAATGCCCGCTACACGCACTCCCGGCAGGCGCCCTGACGCCAGCCTGGCGCTCCAACACTGTCCCTTTCCATCTCGGCCAGGAACTTGGTTGTCCAGTTCTCCCTATCCCACGCAGAAGGCAAGACTGTTCAGTCTAACTGGGAATCAAATGCCCTTTCATAATATTTGTTTACACATGAGAAAACAGCCAAGCTAAAGAACAACGATTCCTCATGGAGCGCAGTCTACCAGAGCAGGCGGAATCTGCCTTCCGATTTGAGAGCCTTTCTGTTTCAGCTCCCGGTGGCTTGGAGTTCAAAGTCACCCCCACAGTGGATTTGGTTTTAAATAAATCTTCTTCACTCACAGAAATAAAAAGTATATCAGATATAATTTTGAATTACCACAAAATTCGATTTTATTATTTTTCAAATTTCTGCCTTCAGACCAGCTCCTGGAGGCCAGAGATTGCCAATATTTCAAAGAGATTTTATCATAAAAATCAAGCAAAACAGTTTTAATACAAAGAATCATCTGAGCAGAGGAGGATGCAAAGTTTGTCTAAGACCCTAAGGCTGAGATGAAGCAAGCAAATGGAGTGAAAAGACAGTGGCTTTCAAGGCCAGCCTTTATTTTGCTTACGAGTATTTAATATAGCTGCATTGCCACTGTTCTCGATCATCTTTAGATCAGTGGGAGCAGTTACCATTAATAATAAATCAATATTGCACCATCAAGGAGATGAATATCCACGCTTCTACCAAAACATCCTTCTCCCTGGCACAGCTCTTTCCCGAGAAAAATTAAAAGGGTCGCTTTGTCAGGAAATTAGCATTTGTAATCAAGAAATGGTTTGCGTCTGTGCTCTCTTGTCACTGGGAAGAAGAGCAGGGGCCCTGGGCCTGAGTGAACTTGGGCGCCCCTCGGTTTGCCCTGAAGTTTGGGCCCTGCGGGGCCTGCACCTTTGGGTGCAGAGTGGATGGAGACAAATTTAAAAGGCTGCTTCCTTAAGGCACCCCTCGGCGTTGTACTGTGCACCTCCCAACCAATGTGAAAAGAAATCAAGGGAGCAAATGGGGAGGCTAGGGAAGCCACCACCACCTGGATGAGGGGTCTGTGAAAACAGGTAAAGGGGCGCTGGGCCAGGGAGCCTCTTTCCCTTGCAGACACAAAGATTCCTTATTTAGCGCATTTCCCCTCCACTTCAAGATCTGAGACCCCAGAGACTCAAGACACATGACCACCCTCCATGAGCCCCATAACCCTGACCGATCAGGAGGGGTCAGGTCCGCAGCCCTGGGAAGTCCTGATCCAATCTCCTGGCCTTTTTCAAGTCCATCTTGGGAGCTACCAGGAGGGAAGGAACTGCAAACAGATGAGCACCCGGGATCTTAGGGAAGGCTGCCGGCCAAGGCCCAGGCCACCCCTCCACAAAGCCACAAGCACCGCCCCCCCCCCCAGCCACTAAAAGAAGAACACAACGACATTTGGGGAGGGGAGTTTTCACCCCAAGTGAACTGAGGCCCCGGGCCAGGCCCTGCGAAATGTCTCTTCAAAATATCTAAGCTGGACCCACAGTCTGACAGGCTGGAGCCGGGGTGTCCCCAGGGAACACCCATGCCTCTGGCTGGCGCCTCAGGGGGTGCTCATGGTGCCCCAGCCATCCTGGAGCCACCGATGCCAGCTCCCAGGGGTGGACCCAGGGCCCTTGGTCCAGGGTCTGGTCTGGAGAGACGAGACAGAGACAGCGGAGCCGGCACTAGTTCCGGGATTTCATGAGCTTCACAATGAACTTCGACGAAGAAGGGACAGTTACCCATCCTTAGAAACCCACGTCCTAGAGAACTCCCTTTAGGCCCAAGGCTGGTAACACAGAACCTCCCCAACGTCAGGGACTTCACAAAGGGGGCGGGGTGGGTGGTAGAGAACGGCAGGAGGCACGAAAATCAAATTCTGTGCTCAAGGCCCGCAGGCAGCTAGGAAGGGTGACCAGGAGTCTGTCAAATGCAAAGCCCGTTTGCTTCCTAGCGTTACCCACTCCCTGCCGCCCGGGAGTATGAATGTTAACCAGGACAGTCGGCCGCTTCCCGCAGCCGCATCAGCCCAGCCTCGCCCGCCCCGGCGCCCCAACTCATAGTCCTGCTTGTGCCTCCCGGTTGCTGCCCCACAGCCCCTGAAGCTAGGCTTGACCTGGGGGGCAGGGGGACTTCCTCGCCCAGAACGACCTCCCTCCTTAGTTCCGACGGGTCCCATCTTTTCTGGGACCACACTCAGCTACTTTGCTAGCGCCCCATCTGTCTTAAACAAAAGCCTTTTAATCATCTCAGGGGGTCGGAGAGCGCTCAAGACGGAAACGGTTTTGGGGAAGAGGTGGTCCTGTCCTCATATTGCTCTCTGCACGCAAACTAACAGGAATATTGATTTCCCCTGATTTAATTAACTCGCAGTGGCATGACCTATTTCGAAATGCACATATTAGTCTTTTCAAAACCTCTCCTAGACTCCGCCAGGTTATAACAAGGTACTCCTTGCGACATCTTTATCTTTAAAGAGACAACGATTAGGTGATCGCTATTTTCAGAGATAGGAGCAGTTCCCTTTTCTCTGTCTTTATACAACTTCCAACATCTCATAGCTGCTTCGGACAAACAGCAAACGAATGCCTTAGTGGCCGCCTGTTTCTAATGGGGCTGAGATTGCCTATTAGAATCCAGTAACGGACA